TTTTTTTTTTTTTTTTTTTTTTTTTTGTGCAACCAAACAGCCCCCAACTCATCACCAAACATTGGTGGTGATTTCATAAGCAGGTCTATCTACTGCTAGCGGTAACAACACATTCAATGTGCTAGATCAAAAGAAAGTAAGTTATAGAACTCCAACAAAGAAGATTCTCCACAGCATACTAAAGAATAAGCGAAACCAAAAGAATTCAAGTAATGTTTCACCTGTTCTCTGCCCTTTCTAGCTGCAATATGCAATGCCGTATTTCCCTTTGTATCCAGAAAATTAACTACAGGTGGTATCCCCTTAAGAAGTTCATCAACTATCTCCAAATTTGTTGCCTTGGCTGCCATATGAAGTGCAGTCTGTCCTTTCTTATCAGTTCTCGTAATTATTCCAGGTTCCTTAGCAAGAAGAGTTTTTACCACTTCCAAGTGTCCATTTCTTGCAGAAGAATGTAGGGTAGTTTTTCCATTGCTCTTTGCAATTAGTGCCATGCTTGAGTCAGCTTCCATCAGGAGATTCACCATTTCGATATGTCCTTGCGTTGCTGCAGTGTGTAAAGCTGTGGTGTTTGTGGAGTCGACAGTCATGCTGAGTTCTGGAAGAGCATTGAGAAGTTCCTTCACAACGTCTAGCCAAATAACTTTTGATCAGTAAAATGCTGATAATTTACTCTCCCTACAATTATCCTGGAAAAGATAGAGTGCTTGGAGACAGCACTAATTAGAAATAAAATGCGAACACGTTGCTCATACATGTAAGCATGTGAGGAGATTAAAAAAAATGTTTCCTCCATAAATCACTTCTTCTCTTGCCCTTTTTATTTCTTGCAATCTATTATGTTTCTTTAAGATACATGTAAATTAAAAAAAAAAAGGTGCTAGAAATGAGAACAAGCTAAAGAATATTTATGCAGGAGCTGTCTCATATAGAAGATCAACAGCAGAAACTAGTTTTCATGAAAGCCATTTCTTTTGGAAATCAGAACCTCAAAGCTCGTAGAGCATGATCAATTTCATTAACTTAAAGATTTACAATTCTACATTCAAAGAAAATGATGAATAAAAAAATTGCAGTATTATGCAGAAAAGAAAACTGATAAGCAATTGCAGGTCAGTTTATAGTGCAAAGTTCAAGAAGTTCAGGAAAAAGTACCACCGCTACAGGAAATGGAAATTGGCAATTTATCTTTTCAACGAACAAGATATACATATATGAACAGCAAGATGACATTTTAACTCTTTAAAGTTAAAAAAAATCACTGAAAGAGCTCATACCTACATCCCCTTGCTTGGCCGCAATGTGCAAAGCATCAAAACCATTCTTCGCCTTTATTCCAGCAGTTCCAGCATCATAATACTTAATCATCTCATTCACTACGTCAATATATCCATACTCTGCAGCAACAAAGAGAGCAGTCTCTCCCGCTTGATTCTGCTTTGTCAATAACTCTCTCAATTCTTCTTCATCTGCGCTTGAAATCATCGCATTAACCAAACCAAGATTCCCATTTCTCGCTGCTGTATGCAGAGGAGTGTCATCTCTCTTTCCTGTCAACTGCTTCGTCATCTTCTTCCTACGAAAGCTCTGCTGCCCGATGGCTGAATCCATGTTCCCACCTTTTGAAATCACTCCACAGTTCGATACAGATGGTTTCCCTTTATGATTTCCACATCATGAAACCGCTGCATCCAAAAGCCAAAACAATATTTTAAACTTTTTACAATCCAACCATCCTTGTTTTTGTTCTACCCTTTAATGGACGAATCAGTTGTCCAATGTAAGTCATCTACAATTATAATTCTAAACATTTTCTTTATTCTGCTCTCTTACTTTTATGACAATATGGGTTAAGGCCACTTTTCCCCCCTAAAAAAAACCCATCTTGCTCCCCAATCCCTTTCAAGCCTCCCCAACTTTACACCATCTTAAGGCATCATGAAATGCAATATAAAATATTGAAAGGTGAAAAGGGAAATGGTACTTCAGTGCTCCCCCACTTTCCTCACCCTAAACAAATGAACCCCCATATGAGCAAGCAAACAAACAGCTGATGTGCATTTCATCAATTGAATATGGGAAGAGGACAAAGGGGGAACAAAATGGACATTCATCCACATGGGCAAGCTCCAAACCTCACCAGACAAAAAAAAACCCATCTGAGTTTAGGATCAACACATGGTTTTTTTTTTTTTTTTTTGGATCAAACACAACATTATCAAATGAAAGGTAGTACAGAAAATTGAAAGAAATTGAAAGGAGCATATACCTTTTGATCGACCCATTTGTTGAAATTGAGAGATGAGCTCCCTTATTAAAATTGGAAGGACCCCATTTCCTCTTGTTCTTCTTCTGCTGCTCCTCCTCCTCCTTTTGAATGAAAAGTTTAAAGCCATTCTATACACGGGCATAAGCGTTTGGTTACTTTGATTATTACGTAAGAAATGTAATAGGGATCCTTAAAGAAATCCATCGATGTACAATGATTAAATAATAATAATAATAATAATAATAATAATAATAGGAATCAATTTGGATATATATATTTACAGTTAGTTGACGACGACCCGTGAGAGGTGTCGGGGGTTGACGTGGACGATATAATGGCGGG